CTTCGTAAATATCAGTTATAAAAGTATATTTTATTCTAATAAAAGAAATTCTTAATTAAAATCATAGTGTAATTCAGTGTTCATAATTGTAATCATACAAGAACTAGTACTTGTGCGTTTGTATTCAGTCTATTTTAACAAATTGAGGCATTGCTAATGTAATAATTAAAAAGCACCCTTATTATTTGAAACAACAAACAGTAAATTTAACGATGACGATCATGCAAGGTAATGATTAAAAATGGATGATAACTCTTATTTCAATAACTCACGATTTATACTTCACTCCATTCGTAATCCTAATCCTAAGTACAACTTCAATTCCAATCACTGTTCAAATTCACACTGATGATTGCACAACACGATATCGGATAAGTTTTCTTTACTAATCTACGAAAACTAATGCGATAAATCAATTAATTAATAGCACTCGATACTACCCATTAACATGGCGCCGAATTAATAATAACAAGAAATTGTAATATTAATTTCTATTGTTCGTGTTAGGTGGGACCTGGACACCGAAGTACTTTTCTTTTACAGGAAATATTTCAATTTCCATCTCTTTCTCACTCTCATTATATCTATCTCGTTCTATCATTCGTGACGAAGAAAGCCGATTTGACAATGACGAATTATCAAAGTCATGAAGAAATACAAACAAGTATAAATCGCCTTGAAAGAGCAAAAAACGCTTATTTGATAAATAAAACGATATTAAAAAATAAAAAGATGTACCAAAGGAGCCAATATTTCAGTAAAATGAGTTCGGTTTGTCGACCTGTTAAACAATTACTTTGAAAAATGTTAAACGCAAATGTAATACAGAAAAATATGGGGAATAACGTCTTAAAAACTGTTTTTGCTGCAGTTTGCATTAAAGCAAATTTGATTGTGAAAACGCGAAAAATACGTAGAAATGTTAAACATAGCGTGTTCCCCTTATTGGGATATAAGAAAATTATGTTTACAGGGATGCGCGAGTTTAATAAATCTAAAATGCTGGACCTACATCTTCTAGGAAATTGCTCTTTTTAAGAATATGGGATAACACCACTTTTCGAACGCTTCTAACCTTTTCCTTTCTTCCGCGCCTACTGTCCATGTTTCGCACCCGTACAACGCCGTGCTCCAAACATACACCTTTAACAAGTTTTTTCGAATTTCCAAATTACCGTCAGCGAGCATAGTGTGACTTCTTTTTATTAAAGGCGACACGACCCTGCCTTATATACCTACTACTCCTTCCGTCCTGACTTATCTGACTTCCTAGATATCTAAAATCAGCCACTTCTTCTAATTTTTCGTCTCCTATTTTTATATTCGCTCTAGCTACTATTATTCTAAAAATTGTATACTGTGATGTCATACCTTGATGAACTGCAAAATCTCTTCTTAAAGCACATGATGTAGCAGATCGGGTGTGGTAAAAGTCACATCAGAAGGTCACTGTGAAATTGAAAAATAAAATTAATTAGGTATTTACGTATACTTAAAAACAACTAAACATGAAGCAAAACATGAAAATAATGATCATGCATACAACGGATAAAAATTTGGAGTTATTAATATGAAAATTTATTTGTCGCTGTTGACAACAGCAACAATTTCCCCTCATTAACCGAGGTAGTTTCTAGTGGGTAAAAAATTCGACAAATAAATTTTCATATTAAATACTAACCACTTCTAAAATGTCAAAGTGTTTCAATTTGGAGTTTGTTTGTTATTTGTAAAGCAATTTTTATTGGAATGAACAAATTATTCTTATAAACACATGACAACTGAAATTATTTGTTATGTATAGACTATTGTTATGATTATCTAAGTTTCCATTGGAAGAAGGGAATGTCCAGAATTTATTCAATGTTCCTCCTAGAGGATTATAACAAACGCATGTGCATGTAGCTTCCAATAAATAATTAACGATTTACCTGCACATTATTATTATTACGTTAATAGAATTAACAGCAGCTTTGGTCAGACCTAATGCCTTTTATTATGATTACAGTATCGTGAATTAAAACAAAATTGAAAATAACCAGTGTTTGAAATAAAATAATGTTTCATTTGTGGAAAAGTTAATCCTGGTAAACAACGAAAATACAAACTCGATTAAAATATTCAATAAAAAAGTCAACTATCACTAAAACAACGTTAGATAAACTAGTAATGTAAGCCTCTAGCAAACAACATGTAATTATCTACCGATTTAAAGGTGCCCTTTAATTCGATTGACAACTATCCAACGGATTCGTAAGCTTACGGAAAAACGAAAGAAAATGAATCACGTTACAAATAGTAATAATAACTTTAGCAACATTACAATTGTGTATTTACAAATACAAAGCAGTTAAATACAAAAATTCGATCAATAAATGAGTTGCTGTTTAAATCAAACATTTTTCTTATTCTTCATAATTTCCACCTAAAGTATCTAGTGTAGCATCAGCTATAGCAGTCTATTAAAAGCATGCAACAGAGGCAACAAAAAGTGTCACTAATAATTGCAACCAATAAATAATTATCTTATTATCTACTTACTTCTTCAATAAAGTTTAATATGTAAAATAATGGAGTTGATGGAAATCTTCACTGTACCTAACTATCCTGAAAATATTTTAATTGAATGGGCCGCACAGAAAATTGTCAAAATCCTAATGTACTCAGTATTTTATTTGTTAAAATTCACTTTTGTGGAAAATTTGTTTAATTACTTTCTTTGTGTTAAAAATTGTTTGAAAAATTCAATTTAAAGGAATTGTTTGTAAATAGGTATGCAACACATCGTATACATTCGCATAAGAAATTGCTGATACTAACTACGTAATACTATTTTGTGAACATATTGTTTACATCACTTTCTTTGTGTTAAAAATTGTTTGAAAAATTCAATTTAAAGGAATTGTTTATAAATAGGTATGCAACACATCGTATACATTCGCATAAGAAATTGCCGATACTAACTACGTAATACCACTTTGCTCTGTGCTTACAGTACTCATAATTTCTTTTATATGTAATCTATTAAAACTATTATCCCGACAAGAAAGAGATGGTAGGGCTGAAATCGGAAAATTGGAATCGCATTGAGCAACTCAGGCGCCCTATTAGGGCTCAAAAAGGAACTTGATCAGGACCGGATCAAGTATGTCATACCTGAAATACTCCAATTCAGTTCCGGCCACCTTAGGATAAGGATTCTAAACAGGTTAACCTATAAGGGGTAGATTAAGGTGCTTTGGTAGGTCCTGGCTAGAGAAATCTATAAGAGAAGTTCCAACCAAATTGACCTCTAAGGTGCACATCAGGAATCATACAGGATTATTAACAGGATTTAGATTTGGGATTTATAATTTGATTTAAATTTGTATCGCACTAAGACAATTAAATGAGAGTTAAATGGGAAGATCGAAACACCGTGAAGGTTTGCTATATTGGCGCACCGAATCAGGATAAGCACAAATAAAAAAACCAACATATTTATATTACATAAGTAATTTTTCGCATATGTTGCTCTAATAATTATGGTTATAAACATCCTAAAATAATCAATAAATCTTAGGAATTAATTTATTGTTCGGTAGACAAGATATACATAGCATACATTATAATAAAACATATATGTATTATTTGTAAGTACAATTGACATGTAGTACATTAAGCTCATAATACGAATTAATCGGTAAGGGTAAAAATAATGAAATCTAAGCACTTGAAAGCTTGTAAGTTCCCTAATATCACAACAGGTAATAGAATAGTTTAAGTGGTAGATTGAATGGTGTGTGTTTGTTTGTATAATACGTATTGTTAAGACAGGTAATAAACAATAACAGGGGATAGATAATGATTGCCATTGTTAATACGAGAAGGTTGGTGGTATAAATGTATTATGTGATATGTTATTGAATTTAGTCGTAATAGATAGTTGTCTATGTTGATACGTGCATTAAGTTTCATTAATTCAATTTATATTAATTTTAAAAGTTATTCAATAAATAAAAATTTATGAAATTGTGATAGGTGGTAGTATTCGACTAATACAGTTAAAAAATTTAGCGTTTTAACATTACGAAAAAAATCACTTCGAATGCAATAAGTTTGAAAAGTTTATTCTATTAATGTCAACGGAAATGTATGAAATCTAGGAATTGTATATTATTCCTAGCAAATGTATACAATTCTGAGTCTATTTAGTAAATCTACAAAATATTGTTTACACACATATGCTGGGAAATATATTCATTTCCTAGGAATTGTATGAAATTCCGATATTGTACTAGGAAATTTTTCTCATTCCAAAAACTTTTAGCTGAAAATATGCGATAAATGATGACCACAATTTAATCACCAAAAAAAATTTTAATTGGAGGACCTTTTTTAAAGCTCTGATAAATAAACTACAAATAAAAGTGAAGTGAATATAATATAAAAAAGACATTTTATTACATTGTCACATAATCAAACTTATTGGCGATTGGGACATTTGTCGTACCTGTGGATAAGTCTGCCACTAAATTTAAATGAGTCTTGATGTTTTCGCAAGATTCTCGTTGATTTGGAAGCGGGAAAAGCAGGGAAAAGTTGGAAGTCACTCGATACTAGTTCAGAGAGTCATTCAAGTCGAAAAAAGGGGTATGATAATTTCTGGAATTGCTGTGATCCACGATAACACCATCCTTACAGTCCAACTCATTGAGATATTTTTACGAGCACCTGCCAGAATAGCTGCGTTTCCAAACTAACGAGGAGTTTTATAATAACACCAAGACTCATTTAAATCCATTTTTTTTTATATTCACTTGACTTTTATTTATGGCCTTCTTACTTTGAATAGTTAGTTTTAGATAAGTACCTGATAAATGTACCCTGGCTGATAGTAAAAAAAATACAGAAAACTGTCTTTACTAAATATTAGTTGTTGTTAAAGCTTTCTGTAGACTATAAAAAACTCGTTTGATAAATTTTATGGCAGTAGCATTGTGTTTGTAAAAAATTAAGAAGCAGACATTTCAAAACGAGCTAAATATTTGTAGTTAGTAGTATAAAAAATTAAACACAGTTATTTTTTCTTTTTTGAAAAATTTACTAAATTCAATGTGGTCCAATAATGGTCGTAGAATGACGCACATAAAGAAAGAAACGAAACTTCAAACATTTGATTTTTTTGACGCTTTTTTTGATTAAATGCAAGATTGAAACTAATGTTAGAATAACATCTTTGAATTAATTCGTATGCTGATTTATTTTTGATACACAATCAAGAGTCACATTTGGGAAAAACTTATTAACCACATTAAACTATTTAAAGGGTTCTGCTTAAAGTACTGAAAAATTTTCTTGGGAAATTTCTAGAAAATCAACTTTCTAAAAGCTATTGTGAATGATCAAAAAATATGTGTTGATTTTCTTTATTTACATCTTCTGGTGGCTGCCCATAAATTAAGTATCGAAAAGGCCTTAGGACGAATCGGCCCCAGAGGTATATCTGGATTATTTTTTGAGGGTATATTGGTACTAATAAGATACGTTAATCGTGAAAATTTTAGACCTTTATCTATTTTGGTTTTTGAATAAATC